ATGAAATGGAAGTGGGGAGCAAACGACTTAAGGTTTTCATAACAACCTTGCAGAACAATTTGATTCTCTAACCTCAGTGCAAGTAAAACTTTGATTAAAAAAAATAAAGTAGCTGGGTGCCAGTGGCTCACACCTGTAATCTTAGCTACTCAGGAGGCAGAGATCAGAAGGAGGCCAGTCTGGGCAAGTTGTTTGAGTGACCATATCTCAAAAAAAATCCAGCACAAAACAGGACTCACAGAGTGACTTAAGTGATAGTGCACTTGCCTAGTAAGCATTAGGCCCTGAGTTCAAACCTCAGTAAAACCACAGTAAAAGAAAAAAAAAATAATAAAAGTAAATAATGAAGTAATCCAAAAGCAACAGAAAATTGTCTAGCCTCCTCTGTAAGGCCTGGTAACCAAGCCCAGGGCCTGAGCCACCTCCAAGTCACCTTGAGGAACTCCTACTACCATACACAGAACGGTCATGGCTCCTGAGCCTCATCCCTCTCCCAGAACAAATGGGAGCGCTCAGAGCAACCCTCGGAGACACAGGACACATTTGCATGGACAGAGGCCCATTGTTTACTTGGATAGCCACACATTCATTTTAATCCGTATTGGAAAAATGCAATTAGCATATCAAACCTGTGATTTCATGGAGATTATCGCTTAGGATGAAGCCAAGTTCATTAACTGAAAGGATTTAAGGAAAATACAGTTGGTCCTCCATATCCATAGGTTTCTTATCCTCTGAGTCAACCAAAATATTAGAAAAAATTTGTGTCTGTACTGAACATGAACAAACATTTTTCCTTGTCATTATTCTTAATGCAGTAGAACACTATTTACACAGCATTTGCACTGCTTAGGTTTTCTAAGTCATCTAGAGATAACTTAGCATGTCCAGGAGATATATGTAGATTATATGTAAATGCTAAACCATTTTATATAAGGGACTTGTGCATCTCGGATTTTTTTTTTCTTTTGAGACAGGATGTCACTATGTAGCCAAGGCTGACCTGGCACTTTCAATTCTCTTGTTTTAGCTTCCCTAGTGCTGGGATTATAGGCGTGCACCACCTACTCAGCCATCATTGACTTTGGTGTCCTTGGGGCTAGATTCCTGGAACCAACCTCCGTCAGACGGGAGGGACAGCTGTGCTAAGGAGGACAGTTGAGGAGACACAGTGAAATGGAAAGAACCTTTCAAGTGGGAATGACTGAAGACATAGGAAATGCTGACCCAGTCCAACCTCTCAGGTTAGGGATGGAGACCCCTAGCCTGGAGAGGGAAGGGACCAGGATCTATAGTAAGACAATGGAGGAGGCAGCAGTGATCCTAGCTCTCCTGAGAATACTTGCCCAAGTAGCAGGAAACTGATGAGGCTGAGTTTATCCTGCTCTTCTATGAAGCCCTGAACCACCATCACTCTCTCAGTTGCACGGTCTTCTCTGTACAACTCAGGGGTCCTGAGCAATCAATGATAATTGCTGAAAGTCTTTCTGGAGTGTTAGTCATTGTGTACCAGAAACAATAACCATGACAATAATGAGAGTAAACATACCTGTCGCATGTGCAGTAGACTGGAACCCTTCCCAGAGCTTCACATATATTAACTTTTCCAGCCACACACACCTACTAGGAGTTGGACCAGCCTACAAGATGTCCCCAGCCTCCTGGTAGTCACTGCTTTCTGACACAGAACAGGCTGACCTGTGCAACCAAGAGAACGCTGGAGAAATGACAGTGTGTGACATCCAAGCTTAGCCCTCTCTTGGACCAGCTGCGCTGGGGAAAGCTAGCTGCCATAATCTGAGGACATTTAAGCAGCCCTATGCAAACAGCCATGTGGTGAAAGCCCAAGTCCTCCTGCCACCAGTGAGCATGTGAGTGAGCCACCCAGAGCCTCCAGCCCCAGATAAGCCCGAAGAGGACTGCAGAACCACCTGCCCACACTGCTCCCAAATTCCTGGCCCTCCAGACACTCTGTTCATTAATGTCTTAAACTGCTAAGTTTTGGGGTCATTTGTTATGTAGCAATAGGTAACTGATACTATCTTGGTAACATTCCCATTTGATAGATGAGAAAATTGGTGTATAGAGAGTTCAATAACTTGTCCCATGTCACACAGATGTTTTAGAAATTAAATGAGCACAAGATCCAGAGACACTCAGAGTGGTACTGACTCCCAGAAGTATACAGTAAGTATTAGCTATCATCATTGTTTGAAGCGATCTTCTTTTAACTTTTTCACTTACTCAAACACAATTTATCTAGTGGTTATATGTCAGGCTTTGCATTTGTTCTCTAAAACATCCTCCTCCTAGGGGACAGAAATCTTCAGTGAATACCGACACTGGTCCAGCAGGCGCTGTGCCAGACACCCAGAGATGCAGCAGCACAGGGCCCATCTTCAGTGTGTTCACAAGCTGACTAGGAGACAGGTGCTTACACAGACGGTGGCAGCACAGGGCAATCCAGGCTGTGACCAATGGAAGCCAGAGACTGTGGGGACCCAGGAAAGTGGTCCAGACTTGTTGGAGCTAAGAGAAGCTGGGAAAGCCTCTGCTAAGGCAGCATGGAGGGACAAAGAGGTGCCCATTCTGGCAACTGACATGCAGGCAGGCAGTATAAGCAAAGACTCCCTTGGGGAGGTCAGGTGCCTGGCTCAAGTTGTATTCTTCAGGTCTTGGGGATTTTTGAACAGGGAATTATGCTCGAATGACAGTGACATTAACTAATATTTATTATGCAATGACAGCATCCTGTATGTTCCCACACACAGTCTCATCTAATAGAAACATCTCAGTAGCCCTGTGTGGGTGTTACTACTCCCATTTTCAGATGGAGAAACTGGGCCACAGAGGTTGAACTAGCTAAGTTCACCTAGGGAGGAAGGAACAGACACAAATCCAGGCAGTCTGGGACAATGCTCTTAACCTTTCTACCGGCTGCCTCTGAGCTTCACGCCATGCCAGTCTTTGAGCTGTGATGAACCTCTGAGACTCCTCATTTCCTCCATTTCACAGATAAGAAACAGCCTCAGTGGTGGGACTTTCCTAAGACCACAGAGTGGGGAGGGGAAGCTGGCTAGGTCAGGCTGGGCTACAGGAGGGCTTTCATTCTGGGTTTCACAGCCCAGGCATGCTGCTGTCATAGCGGCCTAGTGTGGCCTTCAAAGCTCCCCTGTGATTCTACCTCTTCCCGTAGCCAGGTTCCAGCCTATTAGGAGCTTCTGCATTGCTGTTTCTTCTGCCAGGAATGCCTTTTCACATGATCTTCATGTGCCATTCAGTGAAATGTCACCTCCTCAGAGGAGGTGACCTTCTCTAAAGGTACCTTCCTACTTTCACTTCACCTCAGCTTTTTTTTTTTTTCATAGCAATTATGATGATCCGAAATAATTTTTTTTTTTTTGCTTCCTTGCTTTTTTTTTTGGGTGGTATTGGGATTTTAACTCAGGGCCTCACATTTGCTAGGCAGGCACTCTATCACTTGAGCCCATTTTTGTGTTGGATATTTTTGAGATGGGGTCTCATGAACTATTTGTCAGGGCTGGCTTCGAACCTTGAACCTCCTGATCTCTGCCTCCTGAGTGGTTAGGATTACAGGTGTGAGCCACTGGTGCTTGGGTACTTTCTGATACATAGTAGGTGCTCCAAAGTTTTTGTTGACATTTCATTGTCTGTTGATGGTCTGTCTCCCCACCAGTCAGGGTCCTCTCTGGGGCTGACCCATGTCTGACTCACCCCAAGGCCCAGAACAGAGCCTGAGTATGTTTGTTGAGTGACTGGATGATCAAGGAATGATGGCAGGAGCCCCTAAGGTCTCTTAAGGCCTACATCCTTTTCTGGTGGGGTAGCCATAGTTACTGCCACTGGACTGTCCTTTGGGACAAGTCATAGGACCCAGAGGCTGTTGAGACAGGGTGGCTTCCAGGCCTAGGATTTATAGCTCCCATCTTTCTGGGAAGGAGAAGACACAAAGGAGAGAGGGGGTGGGCCTAACACTGGGTCTTGCACCTGGATCCTAGTTAGTGACCAGTGCCTCAAATCTCATTCTCTAAAGACAGTTGTGCGGTTGGACCAGGCTCATGAGCAGGTAGCTGAAATCTAGAGTGGACTCCACTCTCCACACCCCTCTGGAATGGGTGAGGTGGGACTGCTACTCCCCCCCTACCCCAGGAGGTGTCTGTCTCCTTTGTGCAGAGGCCAGTGGGGCAGGCAGAGGCCCTCGGTGTGCAGCCCCTTGTGGCAGCGATGGTGCATTCCTTCTGTGGGCCCCCCACAGTCCCTGCCTGTCTTCACAGCAAGGATTACCTTGTCCTCCCTTCAGGTCCCCTGGTTGTCTGCTCCTTTACTGGGCTGGTGGAGACTGAATGTGAATCAATGAACAGTCTGTGCACCGGGTCCAAGTCAAGTGCCTCACACTCTGGCTGAGATCACATGAACGTGCTGCATACATAGATGCACATGGCCACTGAAAGCAGCTACGTGTCAGGAGCTGATGACAGGTGCATAGGTCATGCCCGGCACCCCCAGCTACTCCTTGATCACGGACATCTCAGTGCCTAGTCCTCCACCGTACGCTGTACAGGCCTGTGCCTGGAATATCATTGTCCCTCCCGCTCCAGCTCTCCTCAGCATCCCTCTGCCGCAGATCGCAGATCGTCCTGTCACCTCCTCCCAGAAGCCTGTGTTGCTTTCCCTGGACCTGCTTCTTTCAGGGGCAAGGGCCTCTCCTGGCTCATCCCTGCATCTGCAGCGCCCAGCACTCGAGGGGGCCCAGAGTGGGGTCGTGGAGTGCCAGTCGAGCGAGGAGGGGACCAAGGACAGGAGGGAGGAGGGAAGAGCGAGAGGCGGCGGCGGCCGCGGGAGGAGCGTCGCGCGGAGGCGGCGGCGGGAGGGAGCGCGCGCGCCGGCGGCGGCCGCCCAGGGCCGGGGCCGCGCGCCCAGCCCGAGCGCGCCCAGCCTGAGCCCGCCCCGCCGCCGAGCGTCACCGAACCTGCTTGAAATGCAGCCGAGGAGCCCGGACGGGCGGCAGCGGCGGCGGCGGCGGCGGCGGGGGCAGCGGCAGCCCCGGCGCCGAGGCGAGGACTCGGCAGGCTGAGGCTCGGCGGCGGCAGCGGCGCAGGGGGCGCGGGGCGCGGCGGCCGGAGCCCCCGGCCCGCCATGGGCCGCCCGGAACGGGGCGCGCTCCGGCCGCTGGCGATGCTGCTGCTCCTGCTGCTGCTGCTTCAGCATCTCACGGCGGCGGCGGATCCGCTGCCCGGCGGCAACGGTGCGTTTGGAGGTTCCGGGGCCCGGCTCTGAGCCGCCAACAAAGCGCGGCCTGACGGCCAGGTTGGGAGGGCGGGTTGCGGCAAGGCACCCGGCCGGGACAGGATCCTTGGGATCCAAATATTCCTGAATTTGCCTGAGACCCCCCGAGCCACGGCTCCCTGTGCGGAGAGCTCTGCCCACCGGGCATCCGCTCGTGGGGGATGGGCGCAGCGGGGACCTGATCGGCGGTGAACTTTGCAGGGGGCGCTTATTGATGGTTTCGGGTGAGCTGTGCGATTCTCGCCCTTGGGATTTACTTGCTACTGGCGCTCAGTCGCGACCATGAGGGGAGCCCAGCAGCTCCCCTCCTGACAATGCGTTTCCGGGGATCCCTGCGCGCGGAAGAGAGTGGCTGATGCAGAGGGGGCAGAGCCTGTGCGCCCAGTGCATGGGTCGCGCGTGTGCAGGGGCTCCGTGTGGGCTGTGTCTGCGTGGATCTGACTATGGGCCAAGTGTGCGGCTGTGTCTGAATGGAGGGTGTATCCCAGTCGTGTGACACCGGCTGTACGTATGTGCCTGGTCTCGCCGTGCCACCAAGTGGCCCAATATCCAAGGAACCCATGGCATCCTACCCTCTTTCTGGATCGAGGGTGCGTGAAGCCCTGCGTCTTCGGCATCGCCTTTCTTCGCCCCAGAGGATTCCTCCGCGCCCAGGGCTGCGTGGTGGGGAGCACTGGAGGCAGCCGGCGGCGCTCACGATCCTCCTCTCCTCCCGCAGAGCCGATCCAGGAGTGCACAAAGGACCAGTTCCGGTGTCGGAACGACCGCTGCATCCCCTTCGTGTGGAGGTGCGACGAGGACAACGACTGCTCGGACAACAGTGACGAGGACGACTGCCGTGAGTGGCCAGCCGGGGCGCTCAGACCCGAGGAGGGACGAAACGGTGGGGGGCGCCATACTCTATGCCCACGTGGCTCCATCCGCCACAGGGCCACCTGCTCCATCCTCGCCGCCTCCCTTCGGGCGGGGTGGCTTTTAGGGACCGACCAAAGCAGGGGTGCAGGCGGGTCCTGGTGGAGCCTGCGGCGGAGCCCAGGGCAGTGTGGCGGGGGTGCGCCACGCCTAGGCGCCGGAACTGTGGGCGGGGACGCGGTAGTCCCTGCACGCGACCACTTTCCAGCCGTCTCGCGCTCCTGGGTTCCCGCCCGGTCCCACGGAGCGCGCGCGTTGCAAAGTTCCACGCAGCTTCAGGCCGCGCCGCACTCTTTTTCCTGCTTGTTTTTTTGTGAATGAATGGGCTCCCCGGGGCCCCTGATTGGCTGGGCAAGGACCACCCCATCGGCTTCGGTGGCCAGAGCCACCAATCGTGGAGCGGGCGGATGTGTAGTGTCCCAGCGCCCTGGGCTTAAGGGCCGGGCAGGGCAGCGCGTGCATCCTCCGGGTGGTAGGTGCAGGCCGGGCGCCATCGCCCGCTGCTTTTCTGTCGAGTCACGGTGAAGACCTTTCTGAGCCATCCTTGCGACCGCCCTCTTCTGCCAGCCCGGCCTGGGTGTGAGTCATGGGGCCACCAGGAAGGAGGGGACCAGGAGGAAGTTTGTTTCCTGGAAGGGGCCCTAGGTGCCCCGGGCTGCCTTTGCTGAGCGTGGTTGTTTGCACACCGCGAGCACGACTGATTCTGAAGTTCCTTCTCGGGTGTGCGGGGTTTTCGGGGATCTGTGAGAGCGGAAGGGAGTTAGGCGGTCGCCGCGGTGGGAGAAACTTGGTTCCAGGAACGGAAAAAACGGGGCGGTTCTAGAGACAGACCCAGGCAGTCATTCATTTGTTGTTACTTAGGCCTGCTGCGCGCTGGTACTGCGCACTCAGATCAGACCAGTCCGCCAGTCTTTGAGTCCAGGGTTTTAGAGAGGAGGGCGCCAGGTGGGCAGACCCACAGTGCGCAGGAAGGGTAGTGGGGTAGGGGGACACTCGAAGAGCACACTGTCTCCAGAGTCCTTGAGTTCTTTTGACTGTTTGCCGGTCAGCCTTGTTATTCACTCTGTCCTAACCCGGAGTGGACTCTGACTTGGGCAACATTGTTCTCTCCTGCCCCAGTTTCCCACACTGGCCACTTGGGCTAATAATTGCTGACCTGGCAACCTCACAGGACTGTTTGGAGGACTAATTCTAGAAGGGCCCCCGGAAATAATGAGACATGTTTTGTCCACTAACTGCCCAGCATTGTGGTAAGAGCTTATCTTACACAAATTCCTTTACTCTTCACGACAGTCCTGTTGTACAGATGGAAACACTGAGGCACTCAGGGGTGAAGTTACTGGCTTCATGGCTACTGAGTTGCTAAGTAGGAGCCTGAACTTTATTCCCTCCAGAGGTCTTAGTCTAGTGATGACAGCTCCCCCAGTTCTATTGAAGTTGTGAAAAATGATTGGGTAAAATATCAGAGTGAGTGGAGCTGTTATTCTGGAACCCTTAGAAGAGGGTGCTGAGGATGGGGTGCTGGTCATACCTTATCTCTTTGGTCCTTTTTTTATGGGGGTGGGGGTCGCTAGGAATTGAACCCCAGGCATTGTGCCTACTGGACAAGTTACTCTACCTCTGAGCTACAACTCCAACCCTTCCCAGGCGCTTTATTATATCGCTCTCCCTAGGGTGGCTGTGAATTCAGAGCGGCAGCTTTTCTTATCATCCTGCTTTATAGATAAAGCTCAGAAAGGTTGAGTGATTTGTCCAAGGTCACACAGTTCAGGATTACAAAATTTGGTCAGGCTTTCTGCCTGCCTCCTAGCTCAGGACACTGTCTGCTGCTGTGGGGAGTGTGGTGTGTAAGGATCTAGGAGCTGGAAAGCTGTACTCTAAACGTTGGACATGTTGCTTTTCATCTCTGTGTGAGGTTCTGACCAAGACAGAGAAGCAGCTGGGAGGCTGGGTGACCCAAGTTGGGGCTGCAGGAGATCTGGTGGCCAGCCTGGGTTCCTGTTTTGGTTCTGAGAAGGGTGGAGTGGAGTCAGAGGCACAGTCAGAAAGCAATGTCAATATCAAGAGCTTCCAGTGGAAAGGATGGTGGTTGCACCAGGTGTTAGTTGCACATCCTCATCTGCCCAAAGTGGTGGCTTTCCCTTCATCCTGCATTACATACCTTGCAGGCGGAGGAAGGCTTCTCACAGCACTGGCAGGAGAAGGTAATGTGAGCGCTGTAGAAATCCTCCTTCACCATTGAGGATCCTCTTGTTCTGGGCCACCTTCCCAGACCCAGCATCACTTTCTCCCCGCCAGACTTCTGGCTCCTCCCTGAGCAGCCTCCACCTACCCCTGTCACCCCCTACTGAGCCCTATCTGCAAAGGGGCCTGACACCCTCCAACCTCTGTACCCCTCTGGGCTGCAAGATAGGGGTTGAGATTAGTAAATAATGTCTGTGTGAGGCAAAGTGAGTTCTAGCTCTGAAAGGGCCAGAACACAGCCCCTGAATACTAAGAGGCTGACTGAGGTGGGAAGGAGGAAGCTTTTGTGTTGAGGCCAAGAAAGGCTTCCCAGAAGAGGGGACCACTGAGGTAGGCCCTGAAAGATGGTAGCTAATACCATTCCCCCATTTAAAAATAGGTCCCTTTGTTACAGAAGACACCAAGGTGCAGAGAGGTGAAGTGACTCTCCCAAGGTCACACAGCTCCTCAGGGTTGGACCTGGAACTCAAACCGAGCCCTTTTAAGTCTTGATCCTGAGTCACAGCGAGGGGCACCGGGCCCTTTGGAGACACAGAGCTGGTGGAGTGGGGGAAGGAAGAGCTCATGTGGCTTCAGTTTCCAGTTCAGAGGACCTTCAAAGTGGAGGAAGGAGCTGGGAGCTGGAGGGCCAGGCCCAAGGAAGCCCAGGGGAGGCCCAGCCAAGGGAAGTAGGGTGGGATTCCTGGCTGGCTGTGGACCTGGGACACGTAGGCCAGCTGGTCCCTAAGCCTTGGTTTCCTGTTGCTCCCTGGTGTCTGGAGGTAGAGGTGGTGACTCTGGTCTCTGGCCAGGCCTTTGCTCCCAGAGTGACAACCACGACAACACTGGGTAACTTGCTGCGGCCGTGCATGGAGCTGAGGTCTCATACACAGCTCCTCTGGGCTGTAAAATTGGGCGACCCTGTGAGTACCTGCATTGTTTTCAGCCTGTGAAGGTCCATAGCAGGAAGGACCTGGCCCGGGCTCCGAAAGTGAAGTGCAATTGCTGGGCTGTGAATGCACATGCATAATGTGGAGTGTGTGCTGACTTGAGTACCAGCTTCCTCACATGCCCCGCAGGGCAGCTGTCCCTCCATTCTCGGTTATGTACATGGGAAATCTTCCCATAGGGCTGGGGAGGAGCAGGGACCTCCTTCTCTTTTTGCTCCCTCGATGGCTACATTCTTTTGTCATCTTAGAAGATTCAGTGCAGATGTCACTCCTCCAGGAAGTCTTCCCTGACAGCCCCTTTCTCCCTGGCTGAGATACAAGAGTTGAAATCTCAGCTCAGTGCAGCCCTGGATCAGACATACCTGGCTTTATCCCTGTTCCCCTAGCTGTACCTCTGACCAAATGGCAGGTGATAATAGTCCTTCCTTCTCAGAGGTGTGAGGATTACATGAGATCATGTGCTTGGTGAGCTGGAGGGGGTGATGAGTGCTGGGGGGGAGGAGTCTTGGTGGGAGGGGTTTTACTCAGGGCCCTGGGCACCTGACTGTGGAGGGTGCCACCCCTGCAGGCCACCCCAGAGCTGCTGCTACCTCACCCCATCTGCTTAGCCATATGATTCTGAAGGTTCCTGCTGGGGTCGTTGGACTTGGTCAGGGGGTTGCCCAGCCACTATGGAGGTGACCTCAAGGCCACTCAGCTCTGAGAGCAGGTCCAGGGAAGGGCTGGGAAAAATGAGTCCAATAGGCCTGGTTGGTCACAATGACCAACCTAGTAGCCTGGGGCCCTAGAAAGGGCAGTTTTGGCCTCTTGTTCTCTTCCTCCTGGCTGTGCTTCGAGCTGCCATAGCTCTGCCAGAGGGCCCCAAGCTTCCTGTGTTTCTAGGCCCAGGCCCGTTCCCCTGGGCTGGTCCCAGCAGGCTGTGGAGGTGTTTGCTGAAGGCCCTTCAGGGCCTTACTGGGCCAGAGGCACCTCTGGGAGCTGCTAGTTTTCCGAGGCCTGCTGGGGACTCCCAGCTGCAGTTGGCTCAGGGCTGTTTGACTTCTTTCTCCACAGTTGCCTGCAGGTGGCTGACTTGACAGCCTCCTTCCTTGGGGGAATGCTGGTAGCCGGTGAAGCCAGGCAAGGACCCCTACAGAGAGAGGGAAGATAGTGAGAACCCAGGGGCTGACGGAGCAGGTGCCCTCAGGATGAAACCAAGTGGACCTTTCCTGGCCTCAGGGAGCGTGGTTATGTCCCCAGGCCAACATTGTTCCAGGAAGCCAGACCTGAAGCTGGGGGAAGGCATTGGGCTGTATTATGGAGGCTCTGGGGCCAGGCCTGGGACCCCAGCTCTGAGCAGTCTGGTTAACACCTGTTTTGAAAAAACCCACATATCCAGGCCACCCACTCTCTGAAGGCCTGGCACAGGTGCCACCTCCCCCAGGTTACCTTTCTCCACCCTGTCCTCCATCTGTCCAGCCCCTGAGCTCCCTTCAGCCTCAGGTCCTTCACTCTGTCAGCCTTGTTTGTGTTGGGCACTGGGATTCCAAAATAAGTAGTTCCCTCCAGGGAATTCTAACAAGGTATTGGCTGCGGACTCACCCAGGACCACAATGGGCAGTTTGCTTTCTTTAGCTTTGCTACTCACAGCCAAGTAAGGGCCATTTTCTTCTTCCCATTTTAAAGGTAATGAAATGGAGATTCAGAGAGGACAAGTGATTCAGCCAGTGGTGTTGGGTTTGCCCAGGTCTGAGTATGGAGCCCTGACCTTTTC